GCTCAGCCACGTGCTGTCTCTGCCCTGGGCCACAAAGCCCCATGGCCCTTTGAGCCAGCCACGTGCTGTCTCTGCCCTGGGCCACAAAGCCCATGGCCCTTTGAGCCAGCCAGGGTCCACTGAGGCTCCCCGGCTCTGCTGCCTGCTGTGCACTTCCTGGGTGGCAGTGCCCGAGCAGCTCTGAGCCCTACTCCAGGGTCTGCCCTCTCCTCCAGGCCAGAAGCCCCCTCCCCCTTGTTATTTTTATTTATTTTTGAAAATCAATTATTACATTAAATCAATGTAATCAAAAACACACTTCTAAATGCTAATTATTAATTTTTGTATAATCTTCCTTTAATTGGTCCAGAAGAAACTTTTTTTATTTTTATTTTTTGGGTGGTGGTGGTGCTGGGGATTGAACCCAGGGCCTTGTGCATGCGAGGCGAGCACTCTACCAGCTGAGCTATGTCCCCAGCTGCCAGAAGAAACTTCTTGACTTATACATATTTATTGCCCTCCCCTTTTTAAAACAATTCTATTATGATATTCACGTATCATGCGATTAATTCACCCATCAAAGTGTAAGTCATTGGGGTTTTTGGAGGGGGGGGGGTACCAGGGATTAAACTCAGGCACTCAACCACTGAGCCCCATCCCCAGCCCTATTTTGTATTTCATTTAGAGTCAGGGTCTCACTGAGTTGCTTAGTGCCTCACTTTTGCTGAGGCCGGCTTTGAACTCGCCATCCTCCTGCCTCAGCCTCCTGAGCCGCTGGGATTACAGATGTGTGTCACTGTGCCCAGAGTCTATGGGTTTGGTGTATCCACAGAATTGTGCAGCCATCTTCACAGTCGATGTTCTAGAATGTTTCCACCATCAGAGCAGCACACAGTGGCGCACAGCTGTGGTCCCAGCAGCTCAGGAGACTGAGGCAGGAGGATCCCAAGTTCAAGGCCGGCCTCAGCAAGTTTGCAAGACCCTGTCTTGAAATAAAAATAAACAGGACTGGGGTGTTGCTCAGTGGTTAAGCACCCCTAGGTTCAACTCTGGCAGCTTAAAAGAAACTACGGGAATGAAGGAAGATGGTCGGCTGTTTCTCCCAGCGTCCACAGACTACTTTCCATCTGAATGTGTGCTGGACCTTGCTGTGAATGGGGTCAGGGACACAGGTCTCCACATGTGGCGTTTCTCACTGAAGCAGCTGTCCGCGTCCCAGCCTGGGGTGCTCCCTGCCCCTCGCGGGTGAGCGGGGTCCCCCGGGGTGGCCACATTTTGTTGTCCAGCCACCAGTCGCACCTTCTGGTTGTGTCCAGCGTTGGGCTGTTTTGAATCGGGCCGTGGGGACACTTCCATGCTCTGCAGTGTACACCTCACCCAGGGGTGAAAGGTGAGGGGGCTCGGGCTGCACCTGACTCCCAGCAAGGAGCCGTGACAACGTGTGATGTGTCATCTGCTGGGAGCTCAGTGGAGACTGAGTGCTTGGCGTTGATCACTCCTCCTCTGCCTGGCCGAGGGGGGCCCTGGGGAGTCTGGGCCTGGTGGCCTTAGCCTCCCTGTGTCCTGCTGCTCCTTAACAGGCCTTGCCAGAGCTTCCTGTTCCCAAGGTCCCCGCCTCGAGCGGACAGTATGGAGCTGGCGGGGCTGAGGCTTGGTGGTTGGGACTGGGGCACTGTCTTGTCACCTGGAGTTTGGAGAGTGAGGCAGCTGGCCAGGGGCAGCCAGCGTGGACACAGGGAGCCTGAGGACTGGAGAGGGCTGGCGGCAGGAGTCTTGGGACTACCCGGGGGCGGGACTGCAGTGGGAAACCTTCTCTGCTGCTGTGGGTTGACCAAAGGATCCGAGTGTCCCTTCCAGAAGGTTCTCGCAGGCTCTGGACCCATCTGAGTCACAAGGGAGGTGCAGGAGGCCCCCGGGACCAGCCTTTTGTGTTTGTCTGGTCTCTCCCTCAGACTCCTTGGCTCGGCCCAGGCCCCAGGCTGGTTGGCTCTGCTGCTTTGCGGCCTGTGGTGGGCGGCACATCACAGGGGAGCCCGGGGGCAGCGAAACCGCTCACCTTCTGTCCAGGAAGCATAAAAGGAGGAGACTGGGGGCCTACCGTTGCTTTTGAGGGCACACGCCGGCGACCTAAAAACCTCACTAGCCCCCCCCCCCCCCCGCCCCGCCCCGACAGTACCATGCTGCACATGGACCTTTGGGGACATTGCAGATCCAAATACATCCGCCCGGAAGCCACCTCTCTAGGAATCCTGTGCTCTGCCGTGGGGCCTGTGCTTGGGACCTGGCTGGGTGCTGGCGGCTCACCTTCCTCCTAGTGAGCCAGGGGCTGAACTGTGTCCCCACTCTAGCCCTAATCCCCGGGACCTTAGAATGCGACTTTATGTGGATGAGGCCTTTAGAGGCACTAATTAAAGTTCATGAGGTCATGGGGTGGCCCTGACATAACACAACTGTCCTCATAAGAAGAACACATCAGAGCTGGGCTTGGTGGTGCGCACCTGAAATCCCAGTGGCTCAGGAGGCTGAGACAGGAGGACTGCCAGTTCAAGGCCAGCCTCAGCCGTAACTTAGCAAGGCCTTAAGCAACTCAGCAAGACTCTCAACAACTAAAAAGGGCTGGGGTGTGGCTCAGTGGTTAAGCAACCCTTGACTCAGTTAAATTCCTACTACCAAAAACAAAGAAGAAGAAGCCATAGCGCCCAGACGCACAGGGGAAGATGGCATCTGAACTGAGGAGAGGGCTCGGGAGAGGCCAGCCCTGAGCCCTTGATCTCCGACTTCCAGCTTCCAGAATGTGAGGGAATGAGCACCCGAGGTCTCAGCGGGGTCTGTGTACCTCGTCACAGGTGCCTGAGCACACCAGGACACAGGTGTGCAGTTGGGTTTACCCCACCCCCCAATTTGGAAGGATGTTGGAGACCAAGAGTCAGAAAGGACCTTTTTGTCTTGCACCCCGCACCACTAGGCCTGTGAAATTTTGGTGGCAGCCTCAGGCCTCCTTAGGAAAGCTAGCCCAGGGCCCAGGGGCATCCCAGATAGTGGGCAGCTGGAGCCTGGAGGGGCAGGCTCCTGACCAGCTGAGCTGGTAGCCGGGGGTCAGTCTGTTTCTGTGTGGCCAGTCCACCGTGTACCTGGGGTCCTGCATTTCCTTCTTCAGTCAGAACCGGAGGGTGCCTCTGCCGGGTGGGGCAGCCGAACCCTCGTGTGTCCGTGGGGCTGTTCTGGAGAATGGCATTTGTTCCAGACACCTTAGGATGGCACCTGGGAAAGCCAGGGTCCTTTGCCATGGGAACAGCTGTCACCACACAGGCCAGACACTCGGGGAGGGGTGTCACAGGCCCCTCATGCAGGGAGTCGGATGGTCTGACGCCTCCCACCCCTGGACTCTGCTGTTCCAAGAATCAGAACAGAAGGGCTGTGCGATCGTGTGTTCGGGGGAGTGAGTCAGGGACGCCAGGCCCCTGGGTGGGGGGAGTGGTGAGAGGTGGGGTTTCCACACTTGGCTTCCCCTGGCACGCACAGGGGACCCTCAGCAGTGCTGCAGCGTCCTGCACCTCAGGTGTACCCCAGGTTGCGGGCAGTCCTGGAGTGGACACCTTGCTTGGACTCCTGTTGGTCAAGGGCAGGCTGGGCACTTGGGTCTGTTTCTTGTCCAGCTTGGTCCAAGGCTTTCCTGGCCACTCGGTGACCTTCTGGTGGAGGTGTCAGGACAGGGTGCCCAGTGCTGGGTGACAGCCCCGCTTGATGCCCAGGAACACAGTGGGGACTGGATCCGGAGATGGGGGGAGGGCACTGAGCCACTCCTGCAGCCTGGCTGCCCTTCCCACTCAGGACCCCAGTTCTGCCGGACACAATTGCAGCAGGAACTGGCCAGCAGAGCGTGCAGACACTGGTGCAGGACCTGGGGCTCTCAGGGGCGCTGGACACGTGTTGGGGGCCTGCCGAGGCACTGTGCCTGGGCTGCCTCACTAGGCCTTGTGCAGCCCCAGGGGAGGGTGGGCAGTTGTCCCTGGGCTAAGATGGCCACCAGAGAGGCCTGTGCCGCTCCACCCTTGGCCCCCCGTGCCTCAGGCCCGTGTGATCTGCCGCCCCTGCAGGCTACGCCCACTGGAAGGGTCAGGTGCTGAATGCCCATGAGCTGCAGGAGCTGTATGAAGGCCTGAAGCTGAACAGCGTGAACAAGTACGACTATGTGCTCACGGGTGCGTGCCCAGGGCGAGCGGCCGCCGAGGGCCAGAGCCCCCTCCCCAGGCTTGCACCTGGTCCCTGCTTTCTTCAGGGAGGGTCTCAGTGCCCTAGGCGTGTCACATCCTTGGTGGCCTTGGGCCTGCCACTCGGGGCCTGGCTTCGGTCCTGGGTGTCCTGGGGCCATGGTGGGCAGCACAGGTGGGTGTTGGGGGTGCTGCTGGGCTGGAAGGGGGCCAGCAGGGACTTTTAAAAAACACCTGGTTAAAAGCGATACGTGCTCACTATCGAAGGTAGAAAATAAAAGAAAGGAAGAAGTTAGTCATGTGCTGGGCACCCAGGGGTCCATTCATGTCAAATGTTGCCTTTCTTTTGGGAAAAAGAAAAAGGCCTGGTCTCCCTCCATGACCCTGGACTGGCCCCGCGCTGCCTGGGCACAGGCCTTGCTGTGCTGCCCAGGCCCCCTGTGGTCACGGAGCAGCTGTACTAAGAGGGTGATCTGGCTTCTTCCCCCCGAAGGTTACACCCGGGACAAGTCCTTCCTGGCCATGGTGGTGGACATCGTGCGGGAGCTGAAGCAGCAGAACTCCAGGCTCGTGTACGGTGGGTGCTGGACCAGCCCGCTCTCGGCCCGAGTGGCCAGGGTGCACCCGTCACGCTGAGTGGGGTTGGCCGGGAGCACAGGAAGGGAGGCCCAGCTGCCTCCTCCTGGCCACCCTCCCGCTCTGCCCCTGGCCAGTCAGCTTTGTCCACTGGTGTCCAGGAGAACCTTGCGGCTGTGCAGAGGAGCTGGAAACGTTTCCCGGGTCTCTTGGGCGTGTGAGAGAGAAGAGTTAATGTGCTAAAAGTCGGGGTACCCAGCATGTGCCTGCACATGACCCTAAGGGCGTGGGCGTGGGGTGGCACGCAGGCAGGGCCGGGCTGCAAGGGGGCGAGGGGAGTGGCCACGTCTGGGTGTGTCTGCACAGAGCAGCCCTCCTTTGTGGCCAGGCAGCCCTGGGCCCATCCTGTCACCTGGAACAGGGCCAGTGTCGCCAGACTGGCAGACTGAGGACCTTTTCCAGGGGCATGGTGACCCTGTCCCCCCGGTCAGTGGCGGGTCTGCCTCAGCTTGTTGCTTTGTCCATGCTGCTGTACAGGCCAGTGCCGGGAGACCTGGGTTGGCCTGTCCACGGCCAGTGAGGGGAGGGACTGCTGTGCTGGCTCAGGAGCCCCTCGATGCTCTTCCATGTCACTTGAGAAATGGTGCAGATGCTCCTCAGTTAGGTCAGAGTTCACCAGTCGTCTTAGACAAGGAAACGCAGGAGCCAGGTAGCCGAGGACAGTGGGGAGCTGGGGGGGTGCCTGGACTGTGCTCACCCCGCTTCACACCCACACGTGGTCGTAACAGCAAGCACTGGCCGCTGCTGGTGGAATATGCAATGGCACAGCCACCACGGAGAACAGCCTGCCAGTCGCTCATAAAGTCACGCGCAGTCACCTCGCGACCCAGCTCCCTCCCTGCTGTGTGCCGGAATAACTGAGGCAGACCCTCCACCAATTGTGCACCGTGTTAACAGCAGCCAAAGGTGGACACAACCAGGTCCACTGATGGTCAAGTGGACAGGCACAGGGTGGTGTGGAACACAGAGCCCGAGTCAGCCTTAAAAGGAAGGAAGTGGCTGTTAGGGTGGTCATGCCCGTGATCCCTGCAGCTTGGGAGGCTGAGACACGAGGATCACAAGTTCAAGGCCAGCCTCAGCAACTTACTGGGACCCTGCCTCAAAAACTCGGGCTGGGGATGTGGCTCCGTGGTGAAGCACCCCTGGGTTCAATCCCTGGTACCAGAAAGAAAGAAGAAGAAAGGAAACCCTATGACCCAGATGAATCTTGAAAATGTCTCACTCCGCGTAAGCAGCCAGTCTCCAGAGGGCAAATAGGATTCCACGTAGATGAGCTGTGGGGATTGGGAAGGCCAGGGCCTGAGGGTGGCCTGGGAGTGGGGAGTCGGTGTGTGACGGAGGCAGTGTCAGTCGGGGGGAGGGGAAGGTGGCGGTGGCGGTTCCCCTCCTCCGTGGGCCCTCCTCCGTCCGCCCGCTCACCGCCTTACTGACGTTTTGCCACCGTGCATCGTGGGGCTGGGGGCTGAAGCCGGGCCTCACTCACACGCCAGCACTCTGCTGCTGAGCCCACTGGCCCTTACAGACATCTGGCCGGGGGTGGCATGAAGGGGTCGGGGTGCCCGCACCGCCAGGCTGACCGGCGGCCTATGTCTCCGCAGTGTGCGATCCCGTGATGGGCGACAAGTGGAACGGCGAAGGCTCCATGGTAAGTCTCGGTGCTGCCGTGAGGGCCTGGCCCGGCCCTGTGACACCCAGAGACAGGCCGCACCTCGGGGCCTGCGGGGGAGGCTCGGGGCCGGTCAGGCTGTGGATAAGCCCTTGGGCTCTGCGGCACCCTGTTCCTGTAGCCCCAGGGCAGCCGCAGTGCCAGCAAGCGGGGCACCGCCTCCCAGCGGAGGTCACAGGCAGACACTGAAGTTGGATTTCCTGTGCGGAAAGTGGGTTTTGCTTACCTTTGCCCCTGAACATTTAAAAATCAAAAATCATTCTTAGCTCACGAGCTGTTCCAAAGTAGGCGGTAAGACAGGCATGGTGCAGTGCCCCTGGACCAGGTGAAGTCCGTCCTGTGGCCCTCACAGAGGTGGACACAGAGGAACTCGGGCCGTCCTGCCCGTGGGTTTCGAGGTCGGCAGTTTAGCACCTGCACCGTCTTGCCTTCCGCCCGCCCGTGGGCCTGGTCTCTCTTGTGTGCTGGGAGGTCACCGAGCGCAGAAGCCGAGCATGGTCTCCACTGGCACAGGGCACGCCTGGCAGCTGCACTCCCTGCCCCACTTGGTCAGTGGCTCGTGGGCTTCTGGTTTGCTCCGTGCTCTCTCCTGGGCACCTTCCCCAGTGCCTGTTTTCTGGAACCCGGCACCAGGCCTTGCCTGCTCCTGGTGCTGCTCCCTGTGCTGGGCTTGCGTCTGGGTCCTAAAGAGCCGAGGCCCGACCTGTTCGTTGACTAGGACCTGTCCTTGTTTTGATCAGGTTGATTTTTCCTTGTGATCTGAGAGCAGCCTAAGCACGGGGTGACGGGTTCGGTTCAGAGGTGGAGAGAACCCACAATCTCAGGCTCCTACACAGATGTGAAGGAGGAAATAGGACGCTCTGCCCAGAACTGGTTCTGTTTTATTTGTAGTGCTGGGGGCCAAACCCAGTTCCTCACTAATGCTAGGCACACACACTACCACTGAGTGACCTCCCAACCCTTTTTACTTTTTGAGATAAGATCTTGCTAAGTTTCCCAGGCTGGCCTTGGCCTACTTTGAGATCCTCTTGCCTCTGCTTCTGAGTAGCTGGGATTACAAGCGTGTGTCATTGTGCATTTTGCAGTCCTTTTTATTTTATTTTGGGGGAGGGTCCTGCTAAGTTGCTAAGGGTCTTGATGAGTTGCTGAGGCTGGCCTCAAACTTGCCATCCTCCTGCCTCAGCCTCCCACGTCGTGGGAGATCATAGGTGTGCGCTGTGGCACCAGCTGAAAACCAGGTTTTGAAGAACCTTCCGTTGATATCATGGTCCGACTTGAGGCAAGAGCTAGGGCCTGGGTGGGCTGGCTGCACCCCACCCATTCTCAGCACCTCCCAGCTTGTGGCTGGAGCAGTGGCACCTGGGGGCTCTCTGAGCACCAAGGGCACGGGTACATCTGTAGGGGTCTTGGGTCTCCAGGGAGGTCCCCAAGCTACGTGAAGGGGAAGGATTAGAAACCAGCTGTCCCGCGGCACCTGGGAGTACCCCTAAAGCAAGCAGAATCATTGCACACCCTCATGTTGGACTTGGCTTTGGGGCCCTTCTTAAGGACATGTGGAAGCTAAAGAATGCTGTTAGGTCGAACTGTTTGTTGGGCAATTTAAGACAAAAATGAGTTGATCGTGAGTGTGGCTCACGGCCTGGCTTCCGTAGATACCAGAAGATGTGCGGGTCAGCTCCCAGACCCAGGTGCGCCCTGGGCCACTCTGGCCAACCCTGGCCTCAGGACCCCTCTCCCCATCCTCTGGGTTCTCCTGTTTCTCCGCGGCCTCTCCTTCCTCTGTGCTCTGGCCCATCGCGCACCTCCCATCCCAGACCCCTGTCCCTGGAGTTGCCCTTCCTCTGCCCGCCCCAGCCTCCTGCAGGACCCCTTGCCCTTGTGTTGACCTTGCCCGCTGCTCAGTGGCGCGAGCCTCTGCAGCGTGAGTGAGTCCCCCTTGTCTCCTGTGCTGCTCAGTACGTTCCCGAGGACCTCCTCCCGGTGTACAGAGAGAAGGTGGTGCCCGTGGCGGACATCATAACCCCCAACCAGTTTGAGGCCGAGTAAGTAACCTACAGGGCGGGCCTCAGAGGATCCTGTGCCTGCCCCTGAAGTGTCCCCAGAAGTTCCCCACTGGGGTCAGGTTACCCCGAGGTTGCCACCTGCTCCTGAGTCACAGTGGCACTCACTCAGGCCCCACCTGCTGGCCTGTGTTTACCTGAATAGCCAGGTATAGGAGGGGGGCGCTCTGGCCAGCGGAGGGCGCTGGAGGCTGGACATGCCTCCAGGTGGGGAGCCACGGTGGTGCCACAGGCCGGCCGGCCGCGGGGTCTCTCTGTGGGGTTCAGAGGGGCTGTGGGCCTCCTGCCTGACTAATTGAAGGAGCAGAGACCTGGGAAAGCCAGTCACCAGGCTGCGGAGCTGAGGCTGCTCTTCTTGGCCACGAGCTGGTCCCTCTGTCCCTGGGGCCTGTCATCCATAGGTGTGGCCCCTGGACTCTTGGTGGCCAGGGATCCCTGACCTAGCCCTGTCTAATCTGGGGGGTGATATCTCACCTTGACCCTGAGCTGTTGGTACAGCGATGACCGTGTGAGTCCATGGAGGGTCTGGACGCTGGTCCCTTCACAGGGGCTGTGTGCTGTGGCGTGGGTCACTGGGGCCCTGTGGGGCTGTTCCTTTCCACTGTGAACCGTGGACGCTCAACACAGCTGGAACCTCACAGCAGTGCAGTGGACAAGAGTCCCCTTAGGACCAGACATCACCCCTGACCCCAGCCCACCTGTCTTCCAGGTTGCTGAGCGGCAGGAAGATCCACAGCCAGGAAGAAGCGCTAGCGGTGAGGAGACCTTGGGGGCCGTGCGTGTGGCCGGTCACACTGTTCACGGCGGGAGGGTGCGGCACACATCTGGGGACGGGAGATGGGCACCCAGCTAGGCTGGCTCTGGCCTCGGATGTGGCTGCACCCAGCCCTCTGGTCAGCCAGCTGGCCCTTGTCCCCTCCTCCTCAGCCGGTGCTGGCAGGGCAGCGTGTGGCAGGGCCCAGGCTGATCTGCCCTGCCCATCACAGCAGTCCTGCGAGCCCTGCGGCTGCTGGGACAAAGTGCCAACGCACAGTGGGCCAAAAGCAGCACACCCCCGGCACCCTGGGGCTCAGGTGCTGCAGGGCTCCCTCTGAGGGGGCCGGAGGGCCTGCTGGGCTGGGAGGCAGCACGCCTCACCGCGGCCTGTGTGCACTCCTTAGAGGGCCCGCAGCCTGTCCTTGAGATGTCCCACCCTGCTGTGACCTCTTTTCTGAGGCATTGGGATCAGGACCGCAGCGTACACATTCAGAGCGCAGCCCAGATGGCCGCCTGCCCCCAGTGGCGCTGCAGGCTAGGGTCCGTGAGCTCGGCAGTCCCCCCCCCCCCCCGGCCCGCCGCCCCCCCGCAGTGACCCCCGCCCCCCCCCCTCCCCCCGAGAGGAGTGGTCAGGAAGCCTGTGGCAGCGGTGCCTGGGCTGTGAGCTGTGCCCACCTGCCCTGGGCTCCAGAGACCAGCAGGGTGCATGTGTGGGCAGGGGGGTTCCGGAACAGGCTGTTCCCAGGCCAGCCCACTGGCAGGCTGCCTGGTGCAGCGGGGCTCAGGCAGGAGCGGGCGCGGCCCAGGGCAGATTGTTGTTCCTGGGCGCTCCCCTCTGGGACTTGCCACTTGCCCTCATGCCAGCACAGCCCTGGGGGATGGTCTCCACCCTCGAGCTGCCACTGGAGCCACCTCCATCCTTTGCTTTCAAAGCAAAAGACAGAACCGAGGTGGTGGGTAAACAGCAGGCGTCGGCTCAAGCACTGGAGCCGCAAGTCCCAGGTCAAAACGCCTGGGGAGGGCTCTGTGCAGGGGCGGTGTCCTCCCGGCAGAGTGGCAGAGCAGGGGACCTGAGCTGGCCCCGGTAGCCCTGTCACCAGGCCCTCACTCCCAAAGGCCCCACCTCACGGCCCCAGGGGACACATTCAAACCCAGGCCACGAGCTCTGGGCACAGTCCAGTAAACATGGCCAGGGACCAGATGCAGGTCACCCTGACCCTCACAGCTGCCACGTGTCCCTGTCAGGCAGGGCCACTACCGTCGGGGTCTGACCCAGGGCAGACCCCTCCCACTCAGGCCTGGCTCCAAGCCAGCACTGCCCAGGGCCTCAGCTGCTGACCTGGGCCTCAGCTGCTGACCTGGGCAGGCTCCTGGCTCTGCCCTGGCTGGGCTGAGGGGGTGGCTGTGCACACCCAGGAGCCTTCTCTGTGACTGGGACGTGCTGGGTGGAGTGGGCATGTGGCGTGTCTACTGGGCTGACGTGCTCCCTGTGCCACCGCAGGTGATGGACGTGCTGCATGCCATGGGCCCTGACACAGTGGTCATTACCAGCTCCGACCTGCCTTCCTCGCGGGGCAGTGACTACCTGATCGCACTGGGCAGCCAGAGGATGAGTAAGTGACCGGGCCTGAGTGCGTCTTCTGTCTTCATGGCTCAGGGGACATTTGGCCATCAGGGAGTGTCGTGTGCTCAGTAGAAGGAACACTGTCCTCAGCTGGTGGTAGATTTCCTGAGCACTTCTCATTGAAGGAGGCTCAGGGCAGTGAGCAGCCCTGGACAGCACAGCTTTTATCAAGTGGCCACCTGGAGCTGGGCCGGGCCCCGATCTCACGGGAGCGCCTTCTGCTGGGCTGCGTTGAGTGGCGATGGGAATACCACGTGGGCCGATTTTCTCTGAACCACATTAGGGTGACAGAGGCCGGGTCCCCTGCTGGGACAGTGACGGGGGTCACACCCACAGCCCCAGGGAGCATTCCCAGGTGGCTGCCTCCTTGGCACCTCTGCCTCTGGGCACGGTGTGTGGGCACACAGCTGAGGACATCCGGCAGTTCCTGGTGCTTGGTCAGCTGCACCTTGTCCCTGAGGCCATCCTCACTGTGGCTTCTGTCTTCCACTTTCTGTTTAGGGATACGGGGGTGGCACTGGGGACGGGAGGCAGCACAACATGCTCTTAGAGCCCCAGGGCACCCAGGAGGTCACCTGCGCTCTGTGTGAACACCCCAAGGGCCGGCAGCGCTGACCCTCTGGTCCAGGGAGGATTGGGACACTGTGGGCTGGCTACCTCCTGTTGCAGGATTGATCCTCCTCCGGCCAGGGAGTCTGGGGTCAGCTATTTGGCTTGTCTTCTCCTGCAGAGAGGCCTGATGGCACCACAGTGACCGAGCGCATCCGGATGGAGATGCGCAGGGTGGATGCTGTCTTCGTGGGCACCGGGGACCTCTTTGCTGCCATGCTCCTGGCGTGGACACACAAGCACCCTGACAACCTCAAGGTCAGCCGCGTGCCCTGCGCGGGGCCTTACAGCAGGCCCAGGGGGAGGGAGGGGCCTGGCCTGAGCAGCAGCCCAAGTAGGGGGAGGGGCTGCTGGGCTGTGGGCTCAGGAACCCCCCCCACAGTGAATCTGCCCTCTCCCCGCTTGGGAAGTAGGGGTCACAGTGCTGTGGGGCAGGAGGAGAGCACTCAGGACCCCGGCTGGGCTGGCGTGGGGCTCCGTGGTATGGCCCTTGCAGGGCGTGTGCGGGCTCTGGGCTCCGTCCCCAGCATGGCAAAAACCAGAAGGCTGGGTCCCTCCTGGGTCAGCCAGGTCCGCCAGGGGAAGCCCTGAGTCCAGGCAGCCTGCTAGGTGCCCCCTGGGGCCACTGTGTGGGGCCCTGCTGTGACTTGAGGGTCTGAGAGGCTGCAGCCAGCCCCCCACCCCAGGGACCGAGCCAGAGCTGAGGACAGAGGCCCCAGCAGTAGGTCGCTGCAGGCCTTGGCATGGAGGTCTGCTCCCTGGGGACCCTTGGGAGTCTGTCCCATCTGCTCTGTGCAGTTGAGATGGGCGGCCCTGCTCAGGCACTGCTGGGTACAGTGGGTCAGTTGCCACTGACCTAGCGCACAGGGTGACGTGTCAGGGCCTTTCTCATGGAAAACTCGATTGAGCGCGGAGCTCAGTGGGACTCCTCCTGCGCTGTGTGCAAGAAATTGCATCATGGACGCTTATCGGGTCACTCCTGTCTGACACCCTGTCCACTGGCGCCAGTGTCCTTCGCGCTGTTGGGAGCAGAGTTGGCAGGACTGAGGGGAGGAGAGGGCAGGGGAGGGGAAGCAGAGTTGGAAACCTCCCTGCAGACCCACCCAGATCCCTTTGGGGTGGGGTCCGCCATCCTGTAGAACACCGCGAGGGCCAGAAGGGACAGCCCTGCCACCGTGATGGTGTTCTCTGGGAAAGGCTCCCGGAGTCAGCTCTGGTGGTGGCTCCCTGATGCCCTCTGCTGGGCACCCAAGGGCGGCAGGTCCCCTGGGGTTGGACGCAATTCTCCAGTCAGTCAGTACCGCCAGTGTCTGGCTCCGTGTTTATAAAATGAAGTCCACTGTGGCCTTCGAGTGGCAAGCCACTGCGAACCCTGAGCTCAGGCTGGAACGTGCGGTGCCCTCACTGTTTGGCCCCCTCCTGCCTCCCTCCAGGGTAGAGTGTACGCAGGACCTGCCACCTGTACCTGGCTGTGGCACCTGCATCCTAAGGTGCAGGGTAGCGGAGACACCCAGCTGCCACCTGGAAGAGGCCTCATGCCAGGGCTCAGGGCTCTGGGGGCCAGGTCCTGGGTTCACCCGCCCAGATAGACTCGGAGAATGAGTCTCACGCCCCCACACCCGCTGGATCCCCCCAGCCTTTGACCCCCAGGCAGCAGTGATGATGACTGGCTGCCTTGGGGACAAGCGTTCTCCCCGATGGCCTTGACAGTTAACTCCAGGGACTCTAGCTAAGCACGTGCTGCGCACCAGGCAGCACTGAGTTCCTGAGACAGCCCCTTCCCACGGCTGTCTGGTCTTGCCACCTCCCGTCACTGTGACAAGATGTCTGAGAGGACAAAGAGAAAAGGTTTACTTGGGGTCAGTTTCAGTCCATGGTGGGTTGGCCCCGTGCTCTCGGGTCTTGGTGGCCGGTCACGGTGGGAGTGTGGGGGAAGAAGCCACCCACTTGGCAGGAAGCACAGGAGAGGAAAAGGTGGGCATTCCACCCCTCTTCCAAGGACACACACCGTGACCTCAGGCTCCGCCGGGCCCGCCTCTCGCGCTTCCACCGCCCCCAGTTGCCCCACAGGATGGGCCTGAGCCCTAACACATGGCCTCCTGGGACAGTCCGGGTTCTGTGGCGGGCGGTCCTGTGGTCAGCCCTGGGGGGCTCCCATGTCTGGGGCCTGTGTGGTGGTGCATGTGAACACCCCTCCAGGCGGTGGTAGTCAGCTCTGAGACGCAGCCAGGGGCTGGGCCACAGTGTCTCTCCCTCCCTGCAGGTGGCTTGCGAGAAGACCGTGTCGGCCATGCACCACGTTCTGCAGAGGACCATCCAGTGCGCAAGAGGTAGCTGCCCACAGAGGGAGGCCCTGTCGGGAGGGCACAGACCCCTGCAGCTGCAGGTAGCAGCCGGGGGGCGGGGGCCCTGGTGGGTAGCCCTGTCCTGAACCTGGAGCTCGGAGGCTCGGGGCTGAGGCAGAGATGGGGGAGCTCCCAAGGAACCCACAGGGCACCTTTCTCCAAACTCCACTGGCTTAGACATGGGCGGGCGCGGGGGACCAGGGCAGGCAGCTCCCGGGCCACCCTCACTGGCCCTTGTTGGTCTGCAGCCCAGGCTGGGGAGGGACGGAAGCCCAGCTCAGCACAGCTGGAGTTGAGGATGGTGCAGAGCAAGAAGGACATCGAGGACCCAGAGATCGTCGTCCAGGCCACGGTGCTCTGAGGTCACCCACTCGCCCCAGCGCACAGCATGTCCCTGTTTTCATCCTTGTGACAGTGTGACGTCTGCCTTAGTGCCATGACTGACTTGCCTTCCATCTGTGAGTGTCGGGCATCGTGGGTCCCGATGGTGAAACCTGCCAGTGTGCTTTTCAAAAGTAACAAGCCATCACGGGAATTTGTGATCTGGAAACCCGGCCCCCTCCCCCAAGGCTTCGGGACTCCTGACTGCCCTCGGTGGGCCGCTGGCTGCCACTGCCCCACGGAACCCCTGTCCCGCGTGGGCTGGGCCCATGAAGGCCTCTGTCCGCGTCTTGGATTGCGTCGGGTCTCAACCGTGAGCATCTGGAAGAATCACGCCAAGTTCCTGTGTTGTCCTTCTGGTTGTCCCCTCTCGGTTCCTGCGCTGGAACTGTCCTAGTCTGCTGCGTGCTGGGTCCCTGGGGTCTGGCCTCACGCAGCTGTACAGCTGCTCACGTCTGCACGCTCAGACACACTGGCGTGTGGTCACCGCACAGGGACCTCTCCAGGGCCCAGCGGATTCCAGTCAGTCTGCCGTCCTCACGGTATCAGTGGGACTCCTGTGACTCGGGAACAACTTCTGGGGATCTGCCAAGTGTTAGGAGGGACGTGCTGGTGCAGCAGGGCCGCCCCTGGCCAAGGCAGCTGGTGGGGTTGGAGAAAGGTGCCCTGTGGGTTCCTTGGGAGCATCCTCCATCTGTCGTGTGCCACTAGGCCGTGGGTCTGCTGCCCGCCGTCGTGACACTGCATGGGGCCACGTGTGTGGGGTGCAGGACGAGGCAGTGTCCGCTGTCCCCTCTTGCCATTTCATCCCCTCCTTCCTTGTCTGTGCCGGCTGCTTGCTGGAGACAGGCGCTGGAGCACGACACGGGTGGTCGGCTCGGACCCCGTGGGCTGCAGTGGTGGAGGCCAGCGGCCCAGCACCAGTCCAGCTGTCTGCTGCTCAAGATGACCTCTCTGGTTCCACCTTGTCCAGAATTTGGGGCCACTCCGGCGAGGCAAGTGGGGCTGCGTGTCTGTGGCCCCTTTGTCCTCCCACCCTTCCTTCCTGCACCCCAGTTCTTGGGGGTGCCAAGGTCTGCCTCTCCTAGCACTTGCACCCTGGGGAGTGGGGTAGCTCCTCCAGGGCACCCCGGCTCCATGCCCATGGTGGCCCCTTTCCCAGAGCCCACCCCCACTCAGTGCGGTCCAGTGTCTTCCGGGAAGACCCTCCTCCAGGTCTGCATTCTTCACCTTGTTGGAAGATGCCCCAGAACCGAGGGCGCCGGTCCCCTTGGGACCTCAGCACCCTCACACCTCTCTGACCCCATGCAGCTCCCATTCTGAGGTCAGCACTCCCTGGCCACGGTTGACTGGCTCTCTGCCAGGCCACCAAGCCGGATGTGTTTGCTGCCATGATTCCTGGTCCCAACGGCAGACTTCTCCCAGCACAAGACCACTGGACCCACAGGAGAAGGGAGGCTGTGGCCAGAGCCAGGCAGGGAAGACCAGCCAAATCGACCAGGGGCCTTTGCATGGCCTCTCAGGAAAGCTGTCACTGCCAGGTGGAGCCAGGGACCCAGTGCCAGCAATGAGGACAGCTGATTAGTGTCCCTTTCTTTCTCCTGTCCCCCATCTTTTTTTTTTTTTTTCCTTTATTTCCTTTCTTAACACGAGAGCAAGTGTCCGGCTGGAGGAGGGACCTACGTGTGTGTCCTTTCCACACCGTGGGGAGACTCAGGCTGCTGGGAGCTGGGCCATAGACCCAGCTGTGTGTGCAGAGGACCTGAGGGGCCGCACTCTGCAGGCACGTGGACCCTCTGCTCCTGAGTGACACCTCGGGGCTTAGTCCAGGTGAGGGTGAGCCCCTCTCCTTCCCCCAGTGCCCTGTGGAGCTGCCTGTAGCTTCATGAACCTGGCCCTGGGGACAGGAGGGGCCCTAGCTGGAGCCATGTTCCAAGTGGGGCTCTAGGTGTGGGACCCATGCTGAAACAACGTTAAGAGGGCCGGGTGTGGCTCCGTGGCAGACCTGGCCTAGCCTGTGCGAGGCCCTGGGTGGGATCCCCAGCCATGCACCACCCCCAGTAAAAGAAGAGAAAACGTTAGCTTCCTCGCAAGGAAGGGTCTGGCCAGCCCACCTGTGAGCGCAGGTCTTCAAAGTGGCGCTGCCACGTTCCCGGTGCTCCCGGCCTTGTTTCCACACCACAGGTGCCGCCTCGGGGTCCAGATCCACAGCCTGCTGTCCAAAGTGACCGTGGGCTTTGGTAGTGATTGTTGATACAGCTCGGGTCCAAGTTAGAATCCAGGCTTGTTTTTACTTTCCATAGTTTTAATGACATCAGAATCATGATCGTAACAATCCGAGGTGAACGCTGTGTTAGCCCAGTGTTGCTCGCTCGATCCTAGGGGGTAGGGTTTTAATACTTTCTTAATCCAGCTTCTCAAGCCTTCTGAAGACTGCAAGAAGGAATTACAAAATGTGATCCTTTTTTAATCGATTTTCAATCATCGCCTAGTCCTGCCAAGGTAATCGTGTGCCTCTGTGTTGATTTCGCAATATATACCAATAATTGTAAAAACGATGCTTTGTTTCACGTCCTGTTCTTAAACTTGTCAGAGACTATTTTGTAACGTTTACTTTTACGTCGGGCTGAGCCGGGCTTGGCTGAGCTGTACCCGGGGTTACCTCAAAGCAGGAGCACTGCCTGCCAGGGAGGGGCTGCCCTCACCCCCAGGGGTGGGTCACCTCCACCATCACCCACAGTAAGGAGACAGGCACCCTGAGTGGGCCTCGGGCCATCAGGCCCTGGGAGAAGGCAGGTCACTCAGGGCCAGCAGGCGGTGTCCTTGGTCGCTGGCTTCCAGAAAACTCCTGACCACAGTGTCCATGTCCTGTTGCCTCAAGCCTCATATTCTCTCTTAAGTTGAAAACTACAGAAAAAAGCAGGTGAGAGTGTTCTGGGCTCTGGACTCTTTGTCCTTGCAGCCTTAGGGGCCCACTTCTTGGAGGCCCTGGGTCCATGTTCATGCTGCCCAGAGAGCCCCTCGTCTCTCCTGCTTCCCAGCAGCTCCCAAGCACCTCCTTCACACACCTCCTCCTTATGGGGCAGGGTCCCTCAGGATCCTTCCCAAGCTCCTGACTTTGCCCAGGGAGAGGGCACTGGGGTTTGCATGGGCAGAGGGGGACAACTCTGGTGGTGGCCCTCATGTGGCCCAGACCACTCTGCCCTCAAGGTGTGGCTCCTGGGTGTTTCCACCCCTCGCCCCTCCCTGCGGGCCCAAGGGGGCTTCCCACGTGGCCTCTTGCACCGGGTCTCCAGGAAGCTAGGTCCTTCAGAGGAGCATGCCACACAGAAAGTGACCCCAGAGCCGACTAAGTGGGCACTCAGAAGGACCCCTGTCCTGGAGAGCATGGTTCTGGGGGGCCAGATTCACTGCCCAAAGGTCCTTCATGAGTCCTGAGCCAGGGCAGCCTTGAGCTGGGTCCTGGGGTCTGGGTGAATGCTACTCACAGGGCCCCAGCACAGTGGAGGGCCTGGGTTTCAGCAGAGCTGGGCCAGGTGCTCATATGTCACAGGCAGGCAGGCGCCTTCGCTGCAGCTGCAGCAGTAGAGGAACAGCTGGCCACCTGCAGGTGGGAGTGGGTGGGCTCCTGCCTGCCCGCCATGCACTTCCAGCCTCAGCCAGCAGGGGGCACAGCAGGGCTGGGTGGGCAGAGGCAGAGGTGGAGGTGGGTACCTGGCCCAGCCCCTGGTAGATCAGACATCAGCCGCTTTTCTGGGGAATTTGTCTGTTTCCTTCCCATGTGAGTCCTCCTTGTTGGAGATGGGAGCCAGGCTGCAGCCCTGCCGCACAGCAGGAGGGCTGGGTGTGCATCCCCACCCTCCTCAGCATCACAGCCTCGGGGTTAGTGCTGGGCTGCCTTCATGGTGTGTGTGTCTCCTGTTCTGCAGTGTGTTCTGGGTGCAGACTGATTAAAAACATTCCGCCTGGCATCTCAACCCAGTGTGCTTATTTGCTTAGAAGAGATGAATGAGCGATTTCAGAGCTGACTGTATTTTAAGACTTCATATTAATAGAAAGTTATTCCTGGCGGTTTTCTTGTTTTAGTGGTGGCAGAATAAACATGGGTTTAAAGTGCATCCCCAGCCAGGCATAGTAGTGCACACTTGTGATCCCGGCTACTCAGGAGACTGAGGCAGGAGGATCCCAAGTTCAAGGCCAGCCTTAGGAACTTAGCATGATCCTGTCTCAAAAGATAAAAAGGACTGGGGTGTGGCTCAGTGGTTAAGCACTCCTGGGCCCTGTGCTTAAGAATAAAAAGTGTCTGCACTTGGGAACCAGGTAGGCCCCTTTCCTCAGAGCAGGAAGCTGTGGTCACCATCTCTGATCTGCTGCCTGAGGATGAACCCTGATGGTGAACAGTGCTCCTGAGCCCAGGTCTCTCCTCTTCCCTTCCCCCAGACCACTGCAGGGAAGATTCTGATCCTTCTGCAAATGACACCCTTTGGGGCAGGGAGATGCCTTCATGATGCTCACCCTGGCCAGGAGCCATCGCTGTCCTAGAAGTCAGTTTGGAACAGCTGGCCAAGGGGCGCCCCCTAGTGGCAGAATTGGGTAGGTGGGGTCAGAGCGCACCACCCTGAGGTCCTGTGCTGGGCAAGTTCTCCTAACAGCCTCTGGCTGACCGGGGAGCTCCTGGGGAGAGCCTGCCCGTAGCATCCCTCCCTACCCTGTCACCAGGAAGGCCACTGGTGTTGCTCTCACCCAGGACCCAGCTCCATGGTGCGAGGAGGATGGGTGCTAGGGCTGGTGGGCCTGGCAGACTCTTCCCTCCAGGTACCTGGGCTGTCTCCTGGATGAGGAGGTGGAGAATGAAGGGAGCTCTTCATTTAATGCACATGGCTTCTAAGGGTGAGAAGCCGCAGTGGCCCTGTGAGCGCTGTTAACTTGACAGCTGTCCTGAAGCAGACCCATAGTTGGGGTCCCCCCAGTTGTTACAATTACTGCAAAACTGGACCAACGGAAGACTGAGGTGCTGCTTGGAGCCACCTGCCCCTGCCGGAGGCTCCTCTGCCCTGGGAACAAGGCACCTCTTGCCCCACAGTCCCCGCTGCAGCAGGAGGGACGGTCGGGGGCTCCGTGTCTTGGTAGCCACGTCCCAGCCCTGCTTGCTGTCTGTGTGGGTGTCAGTGACACTAGCCTGCAGTGCCGTGCGGGCCCTGCTCCTGTTGACTTCGCTGATCATCCACAAATAAGTATTTTCACGGCCAACGCGTGGAAGGGTGATGAGCTCCCTGGAGCACCTTGATTTCATTACTGTGCCGGGCTGAAAGCCTCGTGGCCTGGCTGGCCGAGCAGTCACTGCCTGCTGTCACCCAGCCACTGGGCCTGGTCACCGCCGCTGATGGTGGCACCTGGTTCCTTGAAGATCTATCTCATGAGGGAAGAGCCATGTCCCGTTCAACCCGAGGACCCGGCTCCCCTCTCGTTCTGTGCCCTGTTCTCTTGGGGCCCTGGGCCCTGGGGCTCCCTGCAGGATCCTGAGGGCCGGCCTTGGGCCTTGGCCCTGCTCCTTGGCTCCACTCCTAGATGGTGACTTGCAGGCTGCTGGCCTGGTGGGCACTGTGATCTCATGGCACCTGGCCTGTGTGTGACACTTCAGCAAGGGGCAGGCTGACTCAGGGGACCCCAGCCACCTGCCGCACACCCAGCCCACTTCCCAGTTACTGCCGCTGGGCGCCTGGCAGGGCCCTCTGGCCTGGAGCCAGGGTCTGGGGTCAGTGTGCCGAGGCCACGCTGCTGTGTCTCCACAGACATGGATCCGTTCTCCTACAGTTCCACAGAAGTCTAAAAATGGGGCGCAGGGTTGGTGCCTGCGGGGGGCTCAGGGGAGGGTCGTCTCCTGCCTTTCCCAGCATCTGGAAGCGCTGCGCTCCCTGGCCCCTCCTGTGTCTTCCATCTCAGGGACTCAGACCCTCCTGCCTCTCTCTTGTAAGGACCCCGTGGTGACCCTGGGCCTCCCAGATAACCCAGGGCCGTCTTCTATCTCAAGACCCTCGACGCCATTCTCATAGGTTCCTGCATGAGGATGTTGGCACCTTGGGGCCATTATCTAGCAGACCACGTCCACCACGGGTTGGGGTGGGTCCTGACTTGGTCACCCCCCCAAACACCTGAGCAGCGGATCACGCTTGGGCCTCAAATCTCAACCATTGCAAAGACTCCACCGGGGCCTCGCTGGTAGGGTGGGGAAGGCTGGCCTTCACCCAGATCTACCCCGGAGCCATGTGGCTGGGGACTTTCCAAGCCTGGGTCACAGCCAAAGTGACATGAAGGGCCTCCCCACTGTGCCAGAGCAAGGACAGGAAGGGGAGAGAGGCAGAGAAGGTGCCAGGGAGTGATGAGCAGGCTGCAGGAGGTTGCCTCTGGTGACTGCAAGCAGGGCTGGCCGCAGCACCTCCCCTGGGTCAGGGCCCTTTGTGCCTGTTCATGCCCATGAGCACCCTGCTGTTGCCGTGCGCCCGTCACCCACCCTCCACGCCAGAAGGACCTCCCTCAGTGTGCCACACAAGAGTTCCACCTGCACACCTAGAGCTGCCGACTGAGGCTGGCCCAGGCCTCACCCCTCCTGTGTGGTGGCCCTCAGCCCAGCCTGGAGGTGGCTTCCAGCCAGGGAGGCCAGGAGAGGATGGGACTGGCCTGCCCCTCTGCCCTCTCTCTTTGTAATGTGCTCTTGAGCTGTAATCCTCGTGCCTTGCTGGTGACCCATTCCAAGTGCAGAGTCAGGGTCTGCTTCTAAGGTAGCTCTGCTGAAAGGGACTCTAACTTAGGCCTGGACAGGGGCTCCCCAAATTCGGGGATGTCCCTGAGCCTCAAAATCCGACATTTTTGGAAATATGGTTTTTGTGATCTAATCAGATGAGTAGGATGTGGCTGTACAGGGTCAAGACCCTAAACATCTGGTGTCCTCACAAGAAGGTGGCCGTGTGACTGCAATCCTGGGCCTGGCAGCTCTGGACAGCTAAGACAACAGGTGACTTCCAAACGAGAGTCCCTGTGGGACCCAGTGAGCCCGTGGGACCAGGACTGGACCCTGGACAAGGCTGTGGTCCCACTCCCGACCTCCTGTGCTCCAGCAGCAGGGCTCCCCTGCCCACTGCTAGAGGGGAACCCAGCCAGGGCCCGCAGAATGGTACTTTCCCCGTCTGCCTCCAGGCCCTGGTGCTCTAGGGCCACCACCCCTGGGTGCCAGCAGGCAGGCAGCGCCTGGTGGGGGCGGGTGCTGTGCACTGGCTGGAAGGGGGTGCTTATGGGTATAGACGCTGCCCTGTGGCTTAGTGACCTAGTGTCCCGCAAGGGTAGTGTCCCCACGAACACAACTTCTTTGGAAAGGAGGGTGGTTGCGGATGGATTAGTCGAGTCACTGGGGTAGTGTGGCCCCTCCTCCAATGGCTGTGTCCTTAAAGAGGGGAACCTGGACACACGGAGGCCACAGGAAGACAGGCAGGAGTACAGCAGGCAGCACCAAGAACCGAGGTGCCGCCCAGGTCCTGGGAGGGAGCCCGGCCCTGCATTTTGGGCCCCTGACCTCTGGCACTGGGGAGAGCAAGGTCCTTTGTTCCGTCCTCCCTGTGGTGCTGGTTCCTGGCCCCAGGAGGGCGGTTTGCTCAGAGTCGGATGTCCAGGCCAGGACCCCCTGCCCAGGGTCTGTTCTTGGGCTCTTGGAGAGCCAGATGTGCTCACAGCCAAAGCAGATGAGGTGGCCACGCCCTGATCACCCCCCTCAGCGCCCACCTGTGTGGCCAGGTGGCCTCCCTCTGCTCTCGGTCCTCATGGCTCCTGCGGCTCACCCTCTGGCCACACGTAGAACCACCCGTCTGCTGTAGGCACAGCAGCTCCTGGACCCAGACTGACCCCCTCCTGACCCCTGACCCCAGACCGGCAGAACCGAGGTTCCCAAAGCTTTTGATTCTGACATCAGCCAGGGCAGGACAGAAGTCACCCCACAACTCCATGCCCCAGCAAAGGGAGGTGACCAGGCTGCAAGCCCGAGGACTCCCACTGGTCCTGTGAGCTCCAGGATCCCTGGAGCAAAGCCTCCCGACTTGGGCATCCCCAGGACCCCATGGCTGGCTGCAGGCAAAGCCATATCCGCAGGCATGACCCTGGCTGGATGCGCCTGGGCTCCTGAGGGTGTCACCTGGCCAAGCCCCTAGCCTGCCTCCCTGGAAGGGCCGGGCCTGCCAGTATCCAAAAACCTCAGGGACATCTCCGTCCCTGGAGTGCACACCCAGAGGCCACCACACTTCCCACAGAGGCTGTGGTCCTTTCTTCTGGGAGATCCCCAAGCTCAGGCCCACCCCAGACTAGTGACAGCATGCTAGTCTAGCGACCTGGTGACCTTGACAACGCTGCTCTTGGATCACTTGACCCTGTGGGCACACAGGTGAGCACTCCATGGGGAAGAGGGGGGAGGAGGAAGGGGACAGGTCCCCGCTGCTTGGCCAGCCCAGGCCAGGTGGCAGCCTCCTGAGGAGAGGCGGGGCTCACCTGCCTCATTCCAGCTGCCCCGGGGGCCTCTCCTTGCCCTAGCAGGTCGGCCTTCCCCCAGAGCAGTTCTGGCACACGAGGGCTCTCCACCCAGCGTGCTCAGCACCAGCCCCTCGGCCGGCCTTGTCTGAGCTCCACCTGGTCATGGGGCCGCACCTGTTCCCACAGCACCTGCAGTGTCCTTTAAGCGCCCCGTGAGGGAGCTGGAGAAGGTCTGGGCAGGAAGGCCGAGTCTCTGGTCGTCTGTGATGACGGCCCACACATCTTGCTCTGCCCGCTGTCCTCACATGGGCAGGGTGTCTGGGAGGGGGCACAGCTGTGGGAGGGGGCAAGGGAAGGACCCGGAGAGAAGGGTGTCCGCAGGGCTGCTGTGCTGTGGCTGTGAGCAGCGTCCAGCTGGGTGCGGGCTGTACCCTACCTGCACCCTCTGCTGCCACTGCCAGGAGCC